TAACCACAGGGCTTCGTATTCAATTACAGGCTCCTTATTAGGTTACAGAAGCTAAAATCTTTCAATTTTGCCTTCAGTCAGACTTGAACTGTTGACCTTGACTGTGGAGGGTATGGGAGCTTAACCACTAAGCTATAGGACCCACATTCTCTTATTTTTACTTTTACAGAATATATCTATATTTATTTTACAATATTAATTATTTTATTACAATCTATTTAACTCTTTAACTTACTGGCATATATATTTAAATTTACTATTTATTTTCAATATTATTCAAACTAATATATTTAAATATATTAACAAAACAATTCTTAATTTATCTATAAATCAACAAAAAATGCTTATTTATAAAATTAGTAATTATTATACTTTTTATTATATATCTCTTTAATCAAATTTATATTATAGTTAACTCTTTTTATAATTACATAGTTGAGATGATAGTAATTTTTTTAGAAATATGCTTATAAAAAGGTTGTAATTATATAAAGAATTTTTATATATTTTTGTAATAATTTATTTACTAAAATTAGATATTATAAAGATTAACAATCTCTCTCTTCTAATTATTTGTATTTAGGGTTAAGAGTAATTTAGAAAAGACAAAATTAACCTATTTAAGAGTTCTTTTTTCTTTAAAAACAGTATCAAAGCAAAGATACTTCCTCTTGTTTCTAAGAAACAAACTAATTTTATTATTAATAGTATAAATTTTTTAGAATTTTTAAATAAAAAAGTAGAAAATTTAGTTTTAATATTAATAAAACATAATATAAACAAAGTAACTGCTTATTTCAAACTATAATCTCTATACTATATAATCTTTTTATCAAGTAATTTGATAATAATTAGACTGAGTTAACTAACATATTGAAGCAGTATATTAAAGCAAAATATAATACTAGGTTATATATCAAAATAAATTTTAAAGTATGCAATTTGATAAATATATATATAAAATTACCAAAAAACTAATATATAAAATTTTTTCTTTATATATAATTTAAAATTAACTTAAATTTTTAATTAAATTTTGGTTAATTTTATATTAAAATTTACTAAATTTTAGTTTTTAATATTTAATTAAATTTTAATTTAATTTTATAAAAAATATTCTAACAGGTTACAGTATTCAAATACCTTTATAAAAAAAAAAATAATTGAATTTTTAATTATAATATAGAAGAAATAATATAATTATTAATAAATAATAATATTTATTCATCTAAATTAATAGATACTAGTTAAGAAAAAGATAAAAAGTTTATATATATTAATATTTATAATTTATTTTAAAGGTCAAAAAAATTTTATTTATTTATATTATACTAGTAAAAATTTGATATGTTAAATATTAATATTCATTTGATTGATATTTAGTATATTGAATAATATATATAGTATATTATTCAATATACTAAAAACTAATTAAATAATAAATTTTAATATTTCAAATGTTTGACATATTATATAACTTCCTTGATATAATTATAAAACCTAATTATAAATATTTTTATCAATTATCATATATACAAATAATATCTCAATCTGATAATGTTTCTGATTAGATAATAAATGAAATAAAGATAATAAATATAAAAATTTAGTAATGAGAATGAAGATGAGAATAAAGGTGTAAAGGAAAAAAAAAAAAGTAATAATAAAAAAAGATTATGAAAATAAAGATAGTAACAATAGTGAAGATATATAGAAGTATAAAAAAAAAGATTAAAAGACTGACTTCTAATTTTATAAAGGAATAATAAAAAAAGTAAAAGATTTATTCTTTTTTTAAAAAAATCTTTTTTATAAATTTAATATCTAATTTTTTTATTTTGTTAATAAAAAATATATAATTAGTAGCAAGTTTCAAATACATTTAATAAACTGACTTTAATTTTTTTTTTTAATATTAAGATAAGGTTTTGTCTTTATCTTTATTAATAATTTGTTATGGGCAACTATATAAGTTGACACAGGTTAGAGCTAATTTACAATTTTTTTACAAGATTAAGACTCAGACTATAGATGAAAATATTATCTAATTTATCTAATTTATCTGTAATCTAAACCTACTAGAATAGTTAAAACTCACTTAGATTTAATAATATAAAATATAATTAGTTGAAATATTATAGTTTATCTATTCAGATATCCATTTAGTTAGTTTTTTATTAGCTTTTCCTTGTAGTAGATAAGTATAAGAATTATAAAAATCTTTTATATATTGTTGGTTAAGAAGACTACAAATATAACAATAAGTATATACTGTTTTGACTTGTGTTAAAGATCTAAATATATTTGTATAGTTTGTTTGTTGATTATGAGATGGTTGGTTAGGAATATTGTTTTGTTGCTTTTATTTAGATAGTTTGATGCAGTAAGGTTCCAAATTTGGTTATAAATATTTTGTAATAATTGAATTAAAAATTTTATTATAATATCAGTTGATAGCTGATTACTAATTGTATATTCTTGTATAGTATTAATTAGTAAGAATGAAATAAAGTCTTGTATTGTTGTATATATATTTGTATAAGTTCTAATGAAATTGTTTGAAAAGAGATATAAATAATTAGTAAGTTTATTGTGTAGTTTTTGTAGTTGTATAGTTGTTATATCTAATTATAAATAATTAAAGAATTGTTGCATCATATTGGTAATAGTAGAGTTAAGTATAAGTGAGTTTAGGCAGATTAACCAATGTAGCTAACTGTCATATGTATTGCATGAAATGCAATTAAGATTAAGATATATTGTTGAATAAAGAGAATGTAAGTGAGATAATATAGGTAATATTCCTAGCATCAGCTTGATTTTAAATGTTTTTTCTTAGCATAAAGTAAAACTGATATAAGATATAAATCTTTTGTAATTGTTGTAAGAAAAAGTCAAGTAACATTCTAATTGATTTGCAAGAATAGAAACTGACTTTAATTTATATATATAATAATATATATTTAGTATAAATTTTATTTTTTAAAATTCATTACTTGAATTCTGAATGAATCTAGATTTATCTAGAATTCAGATATTAAATTTTTATATATAAGTTGAATGTTATTAGTAATTGACTGCTAATTATAAGTTGATTTATTATATTATTTGACTACTAATTAAAATGACTGATTTAATCTAAAGTTGATTATTGATTAATTAACTAATTTTATACTAAATATTATTAACAATTGACTGTATATTAACTACTGATTTTGTCTTGTCATTTAATATAAAATCAATCAATAATTAATAGTCAGTTCATGTTGAATCAACTGTTTTAATCAGCAATTGATTTTCTTATATTTGACTAATAATACAATGTAGTATAAAATTATCTTTAAATATATATGATCTTTATACTATATAATATTATTTCAAAATTTATAAAATGCTGTACTAAATTATCATTGTACAGTATACTATATATGTATATTTATATTAAAAAGAGTATATAGTAAATTAGTACAGTACAGAAATGCAAATTGAAACAGACATATAGTAATCATAATAATACATACTATTTATAAAAAAATTGATTTCAAAAAAACCTAATTTTCTTATAACATTATACAAAAAAATAACAAAGCTTGCACTTGCCATAACCCTAAACATAAAAAAGGTTTGCTTGTAAAGAATTAGGTCTCCTCTTTCATTTGACATGAAGATGTGATAAGTAAGCATTTGCAAAATAATTATATTAACTAATGCCTATTACCCACACCCAATGATTCGTCACTCCCTGTGCCAAACTGATAATGGACTTATAAAAATTAATTTTACAAACCGTACGACCGTACATGTTTATACAATCATACAGTACTACTTTACTAACTACCTTAGAAGGAATCAGCAAAAATTTTAACATGACCAATAGTGCAACAACCGAATTGGTGTGGAAAAAAATGACGAATGGTACTGATAGAAGGAAAATAATTTTTATTGATTTAAATTGAGTGGCATATATAATCTGGATATTTGTATACGATGTTTAGACGTTTTTCTGCCACTCCACTCATTTTACTTTATAAAGGCCAATGTTATATTAATAAATCAATACAAGCATATTAAAATAAAGCTATCCAGAAAATCAAAATATGTATACTGTATACATAATAAATGCTTGGCTTATTTATTTATTTTTTGTCTTACAAATAATTGAAAGCTAGATTTTACATTGTGATTCTGAACCAAATCAGGTTTAACTTGGTTTGGAATTTATATAAAAACCAAATTTATGATTTGAGTCTAGGGGCTTTAGAACCTAAACCAAACCAAACTAATTTTACCATCTCGAAGCCTTTTCTACGATATTCCAAAAGTCGATATAGGCTTCAGAATCTTTATGACGCATTTGTTGGTGGATCTAAACCATGAAATTTTTAACCTGATATTCTGAATTTTGTAAGTTCTCAAAATGAAAATCTACATACGTTTATACAATGAACATTTCTCCAAGTAACAACATTCTTTTTAACTTCATTGTGGTAATACTTAAAATAAACACCTGGGACTGCGATGACCAATAGACAGGCAGATGTTAAAATAAATCTTAGGATTAGATTTTTTTTTAAAAAAAACAAATATCAAATTATATTATGAAAGTTTACCATGTTTAAATGTTTCTTGAGGAGTTTTCCACAAGTATTTTTTAAACACCCATTCGCTTCCATCGGTAATAATGCAAACCACTCGATTCCTGTGAATAATATGTACAGGTTATAAATCGCTCGATGTATGTGTTTAGTAAAATTTTGTATTCTAACCAATCTGATTGCTGTAACTCATCAACTGAATCTGTGAAATCATATGTTCTTTCATTTCGATAAATTTGAATGCGGTTCTCCTTTCTTTGATTAATAAAATTTGTTTGATCTTCAAATCTATAATAGTCACCATGAATTAGCTTCATATTTTATGTAGACGTGTACCTTATCCCATTTTGTTTCTTATAATAATATGTCATACCTCGTATCTTGTAATAATTGTTTAACATTATGCATAGTAATGAATGCAGAAGGAGATGGCGGTACCAAAATTAATGGATTTTTAGGTGTCTCCGGACCTTCAATGCAAAATATATTTACTATTGTGTTTTATTATTTATAATCCATAAAATAATAAATTGTAATACTATTTTTTCCATACCTAAACGATAATGCAATTGCACATAAAGATCTGACGTACGAGAACGACCGGCTGTAAAGTAAAGAAATCAATAAACTTAGAATAAATTAGTTGAATTTAATATTTTATAATATTACAGTATGCTTACGTTTTTGTTGAGCAGACAGATCACGGTTTTTTACATTAAAGAAGAGATCCGCATAATGAATAAAATCTGAGTAATCCTTGGATTACAACGTGCAATATTAGAAAAATTTGAAATTTTTAGTCATCAATGAAATAATTTTATTTATACCTCATCTTTGTTTTTACTTTCCAATGATTCCTCCCAAGATCGGTCAGGGGCAGCTTGATGCTTTTTCAGGTAATTTTCCACCCAAACTTTATCCTCATTGAAACGTGCTTTCTTAATTTCCAAAGCATTTTGATGGTCATTATCTACCGAATTATCGTGCTTACGTTTTTCTATATCAAAGAAGGAATAAGCTGAATGATTAAAAATTATTAACATTTTCTCAATATGCCTATTACCAGAAGTTTTTCCAAATAAGTTCTTATCCGAATCATTAGAAGTACGACAGATAAAGCTTAACCATTGTTTCCTTTCAGTGCAACTTAAACGCTCAGGAAATTTTTCATTTGTCGCGTCTTCATTGTATTTAGCAAAATCCAGATCCCTTGTTGTGATAGCGTGATAAAGAACAGATAACGGAAGTCTCTGTTGCGAAAGACCTTGAACGGGTATATTCATGCTTTTATCAAATCGTAACGAACCAAATTGTATGTATTTAGCATCCTGAAGTTTATAAACAACGTTATAGTTTTCATCAACAAGTTGGGGAGCCAAATTCTTAGCAGTATAACGTTTTAAGAGTTGCAGTGGATCAGCCTCTTTAGAGTCAGTCATTTATGAGATATTATTACTAAGAAGCTTTTATTGAGTGCAGTAGAACTTGAACAAATCTAGAAATGAGATAACTAAATTGGACAAGAATTTATATTTTTAAAAAAACACGTCGAATTTTTTTTGTCGATCATTACTGTCTATAGCCGATAGATTTCCAAGATCAAACCATATCAGCCGATTTGTTTTGACCCCAAAATTAATCAGGATTATCAAAAAAAAGTTTGGCGGCTGATATCATACCCCAATTTTATAGTTCGTATATCCCCTGTAGATCAAAACGTTTTTCATTTTTTTGAGCAAGATATCTCGACAACTACCAGGTCAAAATCAATGAAACTCCTTTTATTTGAATTCTACAAATTCGGAGAAAAAAATCAAAAAGTTCATTGAATTTAACCTTGTAGTTGTCAAGGTATTCTTATCGGAATTAGCTTTATTCCAAAAATATAAACTTTTAAAGAAATAGTTTTTCACAATTGTAAAATTAGCCCAGGAACATTTTTCACCTAATGGGTGATTTTTTTTTGGTATTAAGGTAAGGTTTTGTCTTATCTTTAGTAATGATTTGTTATGTCAACTACATGAGTTGACACAGGCCGGAGCTAATTTATTAGGATAGCTGCGTAACATGTGATACCAGTATAATTATGTGGGATAGATAATTTTAAATTTTATTCTCATACTTACTAATTATCATAATTGATTTAGGGTGTTTTTACTTCAATTAATAGATCAGAAGCAAAATTTAATTAGTCAATAATTGAATAAACTAACCAAGTGAGTTGCCATTTAATTAAAAAATCTGAGGTGCAGGTTATTTTTTTTTTACAAAGTTAATCTGATTGGATAAAATTTAGGACACATATTTTATACTATGAATTTTTAGCATGTTATCTTTCAACTAACCTTATAAATTATTCAATTAATTATAATAACTTGAGAAATGTCTTGATTGCTAGTTAATTATGTTAAGAAAGTTGTTTGAGATCATCTTTAGACAAAGTTATGTTTGTTTTGCATTGAAATGATCATGATTTCTATAACAAGTTGCTATAAAAAATTTGATAATATATTTGTTAATTATTATAATAGCATAAGATAGATGTTTGCAAATTGATTATTTTTGTAATCAGGTCTGATTTACATTGTGATGAGTTATTAAATTAAGTTCAGAACCTGTGGGTCAATAGTGAAGTGGTTATGTTCCCAGGTTACCAATTGCAAGGTTGCCAGTTCAAATCCAATGGGAGATGAAAACTGAGTTAGGACCACAATTGTTAATTAACCACAGCTAACTATGAACTATGAAAATAGGAAGATCTTTAGTACCCAGATTCTTAAATGGTGACGAACCTGACATAAGAAGATCATGATGATTAGGGGGCTGAGAATAATAATAAAACAAAGGAATTTTAATTAGGAATAATTCTGATGAAATCCTGGGGTAATAGGAACACAAAAATTAGTATATAGATAGTACTGTAAAAATATATACAATAATGTAAAATGTAGATGGGGTCCTGATAGAAGGTTCTGTGAACTTGAAATATGAACTAATAAAACAACTGCCAGCTGCAGCCCACTAATGACTATGTAATGGAAAATTAAAAAAAAAAAAATTTAAGTTCAGAGATAGGGCAAATGTGACAAATTATTACTTGAAAAACATTATGCTATATAATATTCTCAAAGATAATAAAGATGTTTATAAGATTGAAGCAATTATTAAGAAGTAATACAAAATAAGAGTTGTTAAAAAATATTAATATATTTTATAAGTTAAAAAGTTTTATTAATTTCTTTATTATTGTTATAGAAATAATGCAATTATAGAACCATATTATTATACTATTTTAAGTTGTTTTGAGCTGTTTTTTGAAAAAAAAAATTATTTTTTTTTATAATGAATTGAACATGATAAGAGCATACATAAGATTGTAATTCTTCTTATTGTTCTTATTATTTTTTTACTATTTTTGTTCTAATATTTAACTCTTTTCACATAGTCTTTTATTATTTTAACATTTCTTACAGTCTTTATAGAACTAATAAAAAATATTTTAGTTTTACTATTTGAGACCAGAAACTATTATATTGTCTACAATTGCAATTTTTTCTAAAATCAGTTTACATCTAATACAAATAGAGTAGGTGTAGTTAACATTTATTTCTAACATAAACAGGTTGTTTCTGATTAACTTTTCTTTTATTTAAATAAAATATTAAGATCTCATATAAAGATTTGTGTACTGTTATATAGTTTTCTTAAAGTTGGGCATATATGTTTTAAGTAAATTATTATGAGTACTACCAATTAGATAAGTATATTATAATGATAATTATTTCACAGATTTCTTAGAGTATTGGTTTTATCTCTGACAACATTTAAAGTTAAAATTTTTTTGTTAGTCCAAACTGCAAATTTATTATAAAATTTAAAAAAAATTTTAATCTAACTTAACTTGTAATTATAAAATTTTGCTTTAAGCTTAGTTCAACTTATAAAATTTGTTGTTAGACTAGGCTATAGAGTTTAATGCAAGTTTTTAATATAGAGATTTAGATAGATTATATTAAATTAATTTTTATTCTTATAGTAATTTATTATAAAAAAATTATTTTTATATTTACTAACTAAATTAAATAATTTAAATAATTATATTTATTCAGTATTGGAATGATTATAATTTTTTTTATTTCTTTTTACTATCTTGAAGGTTTTTAACCACCTTTAGAATCTGTCAAATTTCTTAAAGTTAGAGTTATCATTTTGCAAAGATTATTGGACAGCAGGTAGTCTGTATATATTATTAAACTTATGAACTAATTTATGTTTTATCAAGTCTGTTATATAATGTTTCAGATTCATGACTCCATAGTATAAGACCTACTATCCTTTTTTAATTTACAGTTTTTTAACTTCACATAATCTACAGCTAAATCATTTATATGTTTTAAAGTCTTTAATTTTATTATTATATATTTGTAAATTAGGCTTTCTTAATATTAATATTATTTATTAACAAATTATGTCTTATCTGATTGTTTTTAACTTTGTAACTATGTTAGTAACTGAATTCTCTTTGTATAAATCATGTTTTTACTTTTAAATAGAAGTTTTTTACAGATCTTTTTTCTAATTATGATTCTGACAGAGTTATTGTTATCCTTCAAACTCAAACTTATAACCTTGTAATTAAGACCCAAAAGTGCAAACATTGCACTATTGACCTATAGCTCTTATAATTATAATTTTTATATTAAGTTGTTATAAAAAATTTTGTACTTGCCAAGCATTATATAACATAAAAGATTTTGATAAAGTTATATTAGTTTATATTAAAATAATTATAATTTTTATATAATAATTTAATATAAAAAATTCTATTTTTATATTTATTAATATAAATATTTAGATTTAACTAAAGTTATATTTATTTTATATAAAATATCTAAAAAACATAATTTATAATAATAAAAAAATAATTTATTTACTAGAATAGCTTATTATAACTTAAAAACTTATCTTTTTATTACAGAAATAATTACTCTAAATATCTAAATTTTAAAACACAATTTTGCTAACATTATATTCTTTTTTTAATTAACTTAATATATATAATAATTTTTGTCTTCTTAATTAAAATATATTTTATCAAAAATTTATAAAATATCTAAAGACAAAAAGCCATTATGATTTATAACTTTTGAAGATATTATAACAAATCACTCCTACTATTGAACTCTTTATAACTATTACCAACTTTCAAAAATCAATTACTTTAGCTACACCACAGGTCATTTCTCAAAATATTCTAAACCATAGCTTATTACTATACTTCAAGATCAAATAATTATAGGTAAAGCCAAAAAATAACCAACTTCTTTTAGACAAATACTTATTACCTATTGACATAGCAATATTGAGCTTCATACTATACAACTATATTTAACACCTTTCAATTACAACTAAATCATATACTGACTGCAATTTCAATTTTAACTTATCATCTACAAATATATAACATTTGTTTCTATTAACCTTGTAACTAAATTTTTTGAAAAATTTATACTCAAAATTAATAACTTAACATTAATGCAAACTATCTTAATTTGCTTTACTCTATTGCTATTTAACATTCTACTCAAATTTCTAATGTTGCTAATATTTATATATCTGCATCACTTATTTTATCTATTTTCAATAATAGTAATCTTATTAACATTCTGCAATTAATTACTAATTTAAACTACAACAAATCTAAACTTCACTTTTATACTAATGAATTAGTTATTTAGGCAAATATATCCCAATACTCAATAGAAATTGGATAGATCTTGATACAAAACAACAATATATTACTATATTATACACTTTTTAAGCATAAACTAAGTTTTGGCTATGCTCTTTAAAGCAGAAATTACTGCAATTCTTTCTGCTATCATTACTGTATTCAAAAACTGTACAGTACACATCTATACTAATTTACAATCTGCTATATCCAAATACAACAGTATCAATTTAAATTATCATTTATTAATACTTTATATTACTTACTTTGGTATACTTTAATTAACCTTACAAACTCTTACAATATACAACTTATCCTGCATAAAGTAGCTGCACACCAGAATAATGAATTCAATAACCTTGCTAAAAACTTTGCTTACAACTATTTCAATCTTCTATATATACTATTTAATTCACAAAATTATTATAATCTAACTATACATTTCAACTTGATAACTATTTTATTGAACTATCTATTCATCATTGCACTGTACAATTTGGCATACTTATATTTATACATTATAGTCATCTTAACTTTGCTTTCAAAAATGGTCACAAATTCTAACTCAAACTAATCAAAAAGCCATCTGGCTCTATATTAACAATAATCAAAAAATAACAAACTATTCTTATAGATTTTAAACATCTAAGCTTAAGTTCTTTAATTCTTTCATATAAATTCTTATAGATGACCTTCCAATTTCATATA